ACACACACACACACACACACACACACATATATAATTAGGCCATTTGACTAAAGTGCCATGATGGCTGAAAATTCAGTGCATCCCTGCTCCCCGATGCCCAGCGGGGAGGAGAGAAGCTTTCAGGATGGAGAGTGACGCTGCATGGTGACAGCTGTCATTGTTGCAGGAGGCCGAGCTCACCTCCCACACCTCCCGGCTCAGCCTCCTGTGTCAGGATGCAGAGCAGTGTGGGGCGGTAAGATCTGTGATCTGTCACAGGAGGCGGAGCTCTCCTCCCACACACCCCCGGCTCTGCCTCCTGTGTCAGAATGGAAAGTGGTGATTGGAGGAGAATGCTCTGATCTGTCATAAGAGGCGGAGCTCTTCTCCCCTCCTGTGACAGCCGATTCAGGATAGAGAGCGATATACATAAACTCACCGATCAGCTGATCGGTTAGTGTTTGTAAATAACTGGATATAGTGTGCTTACTATGTAGCAGTTTTGAAGGAATGGGAAGTGCTCTACATCACTTCCCATTCATTCATGATTGTGGACATAATAAGTACACTATATCCACAATGTATAAATGAACAGGAATACTGAGTATAGAGGCTTCCTGTTCATTTATAACAGGGGCTGCAGAAAAAAAAAGATTGAGGACTCTGTTCTCAATCTCTTTTTCTATTTTAAAAGGGAAACATCAGGGGTCTCTTTAGACCCTTGATATTTAATTGAAGGAACGGGGGGGAGTTTTGGCTTGACAAATTTTTTAAATTTTTGGTTTTCGGTCTAAAAATTCCATTTTGGTGCATTCCCAATTATTAATAATGAGAATATCGCATTGCTGGGTTATCAAGAAAAAAAAACAAACCCTGTGAGATTCTCTCTGAACTGTCCCGGAAACGTCAGAGGAGCCACCTGGAGACTGAGGTTCCAGGTCTCAAAGGAGGGGCAACCTCCCACCCTCTCCTAGAGGACAGAGTGCCATCTAGATTTCTATTCTGTCAGAGCATTCAAGTTCGTGCTGGGCTTTTTCAGACTAAAAAGGAAAGCAACCTACTAAAAGGAAAGCAACCAGCAATAAATGTTTATTTGCAAATTACACATTCTATACAAATAAAAGACAATGTTCTCAAATAACAATTTATGAACTTTCAAGGTAAAACTTAGGAGCAGTGTTTGGCTTCACTAAAAACTGCATAGAAAAATGGTCAGGTTTAGAAATACAGACAGCTTCATTTATGTGCAACCTTGCTGTATACAAAAACAAGAATCCAAAAATCAATGTCTCCTAGACTTGTCTTCAAGCACCACTGACAAGGTATGTTTTGCAGGTAACCCCACATATGTAAAATGTGTAGTAATCAGAGCCTCAATAACTATCCACAAAACAAGAATGGTTGGTGAATCACTGAACGATATCGATCCCCCATGACACCTACCTTTTCCTTCATATTCTCATAGGAGCCTCCTTGAGCCATCACAGTATTAGACTGGACGTCAAAGACAAAACCGATTGGATCTGTGGGAAAAGGAATGCAGAGCTATTACCCACATATGAAAGGCACATCTTAGTACAACAGCTATTGAGTGAAAATCAAAACGGAAAATATGAAGAATTTGATCTTTTCTCCGTATACATGAGAATGTAACAAAAGTATATCCACATATATACAATACCCCATTCCTCATACTTCACTACTTCAATAAAGCTTGCTGTGTTCATAGCAGGCAGCTCCACCTCCCTAGTCTGGATAGTGTAGAAGCTGCTGCATGCGTGGCTATAATACTGCACGACCCGGAAAAACTGGACAGCCCTCTATCTCTTTAACTCTAGAATTTCCTCTTCCAAGACATAGTGCACTATTCATCCTGCACAGGGAGGCCGATCTGAAAGTCAGTAGCCTGAAAATCACTTGGTCTGGTCACACACAGTATACTGCTTCTCATATGAAGTCTTACATTTAATTCAGAATAAATGACATATATTTATTCAAGAGCCAGCAATATAGACCAGAGATTAAACTTTTTGTATATATGATGTAAGAAGAGCACCAGAAGACTATCAGTAGCTCCTACCAAATTACTACTACAGAAGCCAAATCATGTATTAGATCGGATCAGGCAATGATAATAGACTACTGTACTGTTTATGTCCCTCTCCTACAGGCAAATGTGCCACACATGCGTACTAAAGAAACAATCCACCCAAAACTAATTGACCTGCTACTTTGACAGGTCTGTGGCTTGTATAAAATGGTTAACAAGTACCACTGGGTTAATAGTAAAATGACCTACCCTGGTGTGTTCCCTCCTCCCCATACTCTCATTGGTCCATTGCTATAATGGGCTGCCTCAATAGCCAATAGGAATGTATGGAAGGAATGGCAGTGAAGTTCTATCACTACTAAAGCTCCCAATGCTTTTGAGTCTAGAGGGGGCGATGGAAGATGCTTAAGTTACCTGCAGGTTCTTGTAGGTGTATGTACTTTATATCTGCCAGCAGCTTATTACCATTTAAGACATTTTAAAAGTAAGAACGTGTAGAAAAATATACTTAGATTTATAAATGTTTCACCCAGCAATGCAGGTCACACAGCACTATAAAGCCGCTAGATGGCCCTAAAGAACATAGGAATTTCCTATGCTCCATAGCGCTATCTAGGTGCGCTTTGGTAGCTATATGTTGGGCGGAACATTTATATATCAGCCCAATACTGTTGCTACAGCTTACCGTCTTCTGAAAAAGCTTATTTCTTTAGTGTTATGCAGACCTTCCAACTGTATTTTCTCTTCAGTCAATGATCAAAGAACACGTATACAGACCAGAAGTTCTACCTTCAATGGCTGCATACTTGTGATCCAACTCCTACACCACTCAATGGAGGCAACATGCCACAAATCATATTCATCACCCGAGTTTAAACTTCAGCTCCATTACAAGTGAGCACCACCAGTCCGTTTCTTGGATGTACAATAGAGGTACTAATAGAGTACAGGTAAAAGAAACATAGCAGGATGCCAGGTAGCTGTAAAGTATTCCCTGCAGTTTACAGATCTATCTTACAGATTTATCTTCTTGTTAAATTAAATGAAAAAGGGGTAAACATGTTTGTAATCTAGACATCCATGTTTATGAATGTTTAGCACCATGGCCATAGGAACATTTCCCCTAGCTCAGTTGCTCCAGGGCAACTTTTTTTTCCTGTCACTGGTGACTGTCACTCATTCAGAATGTCACAGCTAGAGAAAAACGGACGTTTCCAGGCAGGCCGCGGAAATGCTCCAGTTACAAAGTAGGTCTCGGCTACATTATGCATAGACAGGAAGACACGGCAAAAATAAATCTGCAGGGTTTTTGTTCCACATTTGTGGACATAGAGTACATTTGAATGTGATCAGCTTAAAAAGTAAACCAGTCAAAGGATAAGGGTGGGCTGCCATTGTGGACCTCCTCCTAAAAAAAAATGATGGCTGTCATCATGCTGACCCTCTGGCTTTACTCATTTAATTCAGTTACCCAACACAAGTATACAAATACGGACTTTTGACTTTCCTGATTTGCATACTTGCTGGTGACTCAAAAGTACTCTAGCCAGTTAGCAAAACAGCCACGCAACTTTTGAAAGGACGCCAACTATGTCTTCCTCTCAGGACAGCCTCCCCTTAAAGAAAATATTTTTACAGTTGCCAAAATGAAAGTTTTAAGGAGAGAAGCTTCACATATTGTTTAGTAATGCTACACTATAGCAGTTCACAAAGCAGTACGAGTTATCTTAATGCATAGGCGATTTGATCACAATTACGATCACATAAAATGTTAATATAAAGAAAAAAAGAAAAAAAAAAACACATTTAAGTGTTATAATTGTTATAAGTGAAATCATCATTTCACTAGAGACTGTAAAACTCAATGGCAAGGCCAGACAGAAGTTACCAACGTTTCGAGAAGCAAAAACCTATGCAATAGGGAACTGACATATATAAAAAAAATATGCATGTGGCAAATTTAGATGTTAAAACCTTTAGGCTGGGTTCATACCTGGGCGTACGGAATATGCACGTTTGCACATCGATTTGCGGTAAAAGAAGCGCGCTACAAAAACGCGTTTCCGAGGGCTATCCGGCTGTATCCTAATGGATACGCACGGCAAATAAGCCCCAAAGAAGGTCCTGTACTTCTTTGGGCATAGGGCATTTTTCAACGCGTTCCTTTGTGCTGTAAAACGCCCAGGTGGGAACCATGCCCATAGGCAATTATTGGTTTTCACATGTTGAGCGTTTTACAGCGTGTAGGAGCGCTGTAAAACGCCCAGGTGTGAACCAGGCCTTAGGGCCTAATCACACCAGCAGTCATGCTACAGCGCACAGATGTGCCTGGCACAGTGCTGATGCACTTGATAGTGACTCATTGCACGGTTTACTTTTTTTTTGTTAGAACACATGTGAGATTTCAATAAGGTTCTATGGGCTCAGCTCAGTGCGATGCGGTTGCACTGCATGCCGTACTTTTTTTCTGCACATACTACTGCAAAGCGGCAGTGTGAACTGAGCCCATCTGGAACAAGGCAAATTGCCTTGTCTTGAGTTGTGGTTGTGCTCTAGAAAATGGCTGGCGCAGCCCCAAAGCATCTATTGTGAATGGGCCCTGAATGTTAAAACGAAAATAAATAAATAAAAGGAGCAAATAAAGTACAATAATGAAAATACTACACATCTTGTACTTTTGTGCATTGGATTAATCATTTATTCTGTAATTTCAGTAGTTGCTGACAAGATTGCTTAAAAGCAAAGTCCACTGTTCCCTAAAATAAAAAAAAAAAGGAAAAAAAATCAATAAATGCAAAGACATTAAGAAAAAAAAAATGTGCCTTTATTGATTTTTTTTACATTGGAGTCTGCAAAGCACTGCAATCACAGTTAGTGGATCACAGGTGCAATGCTCTGGCTCCTGCAGACTCTTCCTCCCCCAGCCCCTGCCCATACCAAGGTCACTGCACTTGTGCTCCATTGTTTCTCTGCAGCAGTGGCAGACAGAACTTGTAGCCCCTTGACAGGATCTGTGAATGGATGACACGGCTGTGTGGGTGGAGCCATGCCAATTTCAAAGATGCACAGAATCATGCAGGGATAACAAGCGTGAGATTCTGCTAAGGAGGGGGTTTGGGGAGCAACCATGTTATACCCTAAATATTGAAGAAACAGTCAAAAATATGGAGTTAGTCTTTAAATCCCAACTTCAAGCTATTTGTTTAATAAAATAGATCCCTAGCAGGTGATAAAAAATGGTAAAGCAGCTTACGTTGCAATACTCACCGGAAGTCCAGAGCTGCCCCACAGCAAGGGTTAACAACATGTTTCCTTCTTTAAAAGTTCTCTTTAGGGTAAGGGGAGGACATATACTAGCATCCTCCCGTGACCCAAAGCTCAGTATATTGCGGGCTATAGCTTGCTATATACCGAGCACCGCAGCCGGGACGGATCCTGACAATACGGTCTGGATCCACCTAGCTGTGCGAGTGACAGCGGGCTCTGCCTATCTAGAGGCAGAGCCAGCTGTACCCGCCCCCTCCCCGTCCGTTCCTCCATTCAGCGATGGAGGATCAGAGAAGGGAGGGAGGGAATCCCTGCGGCGAGCTGTGACTGAGTCACCGCTCACTGCAGGGAGACGATCGGGAAGTGAGTGGATCGGTGCATGTTTCTGCTCATTTCCCGAACTGACCTGCGACAGCTTCTTTGTCACAGGTGGGCTCCAACTATGAGAATGAGTGGAAATCACGCATCTCATAGTTCTCCTTTAAGCTTACACTTTACAATCTGAGCCTACAACCTTTGTACAATCAACTTTAGATTTCACAAACTATGTAGTATGAGGACCTACCTAAAACTATACAATCAGGGCGGCCCTCGCACGACATAGTTTTGGTGGATGTAAAGAAGTTCGATTGTATGGTGTATGGCCAGCTCTAGTGTTCATCTACAGCAATTGCTACTGAAAGCCTACTCCAATTCAAGTTAGATATTGCTGAAAAGCTTGTCGTGGCATCTGCCTAACAGCTAAACAAATGACGATTGCTTGATATTGCCACATTTTATTCCTTCCATAAGCAATGCCTTATTTAAGAAGTTTGCCTCCCTTTTCCTACAGAAAAAGGAACGATCTGTCAGAGCCAACAGTATTCAGTAAACTGATCTCTACATTTCCCAAATACAGATTAGGTCTAGCAAAACCAGAACAGGCCAAGTAACTGTATTTAGGGTTAATAAAGAAAAATAATCCCTAACAGAATCAACACATGGATAATGACACACAGGTCTGTTTCACAGTGGTTGCTGCCTAGTCCCTGGATGATCAGAAAAAACATTTATCATAAGCATAAGATATAAGACATGAGGAAAATACACATTCCCAGTATGAACAATGAATTCGGTTTGTTGCACAAGGCAAATGGCAAGTGTGGCAAATGGACAGGTTCAGCATACGTCACCTTCCACAGGAACACTCTTCCACAAATAATCATG